TGTCAAATACACCACCACTCCCCTGCTCGGAAGCAATGCTTGTCCTGGCGGCACGAGACCGCATCGTAGCATTCCAGTCGGGGGATTCGAGGAAAGTGTGAAGAATGGGAGCGCGTCGCAAAATAGGATGGAGGGTTATGCGTGATAGAAAACGCTGGAGAGAATATGCCCGGCGGCTTGTGAAGTCTGGGCCAAACCGATCCCCTCGAACATACTCCATACGCTGTTTGTCGGGTAGCGGAGGCACGGCACATGCCGGATAATCTTTAGATAGGGTTTTGGAGAGGAACACGAAGTCGGTGAAGCGTCGGCGGGAGGTAAAGGTTGGTTTTTGGAAGGAAGGAAAGGTTGACTATATCGATGGCAGGTTAGTGATGAGTCGTGCGGGGGCACATGGACATGGTTGCATGTCTCTTGCGCAACTCGACTCTACACTCACATTCGTAGTTATCAGATATGACACAAAAGCGTCCTTCGTACCGTCGCTTTCTTTGCGCGGCTCCGAAACAGTACACTCTAGTACGTCGCCGGACAGACCGGGATCCTGGCGCTGGAGATCTTGACCATGATGTTGATCCTCGACACTCGGCGGCTCGGCCTCTATATTCGGCATGGAAGCACTGGACTCGGCAGATTCAACGCCGTTATTAGTCTCAATCTGCCAGGAAATGTTGGAGAAGTTGTCCTGATCGATGACGGCCATGGTGGGAGACGTGGGCGTTGCGTGCTCGGGCTATGTTATGCTGCGTATCGATTCCTTAGTCGTGCAACGATCGCACCGTAGGTATTCTCGTATTCTCGTATTCTCGGATCTCGGATCTCGGTAAAGAGATACCTGTAATTCTTATCTTGATTTAATAGAAGACCGCATAGGCGATTGATTAGTCCATTTGTGAGACTCGGTAATGAAGCTCGGTGAAGTCGTCCGGTTTCGTGTGATGAGTGATGAGCTGGGAAGTCGGCTGTGGTAAGCTGATTGGTGGGGAAGCAGGCCACACTGCCTTCATTCAGCGAGCGAGAGCTACCTAGATCTTTAAGGTTGGTTGGTTACCTAAGGCGAAGGCGGGTAGGATGCTGCTGATTAACGGCGGCATACGTCACGACTCCCTACGTTCATATACCTACGTAGAGCATATAAGTACATATCGGATGTACGTGGCGGTTATATTTTTAAAATCGGTAAGCATTATTAGCACCTATATGAAAAGCATGGGCACCTCGACGGATGAACTCACCGACCGATAGGAAAAACAATAAAGACAAAGAAATAAATTAATTCTTCTTCTTCTTTTTTCTCATTATGAATTTGGCCTTTCCTACGAAAGCCACGACTCATCGAATGATACACTGATTACTTAATTAGTCGTGCATAACGCCCTTCTATCCTTTTAGTACAAAGCTCATACTAGCACTATCCCGATTATCATCAATTACCCGACCCCATTCCAATAACAACCTAAACAAATACACCTCCATGTCTTCTTTCCGGATCGCCTTCTCGGCCCATTTCCGGCCTTGCTGTGCGATCCATTTCGCGTCCTCTATTCGCGCGGGCGTGATCTGCTTTCGCCCATTGAGCATGCCGCGGCCGTCTAAGCCAATAAAGTATGACATCGTGCTATGTAGGGCGTGATACCGCGTATCGATGGGGATGAAATGCACCCAAGGCATCAGCCGTTCTGTGAACCATTGCTGGAATATGGAAGAAAGGACCGGCACGCTATTTGACCGCAAAACTTGCAACAAGTTGGGTGAGGGGCCATCGGCGGTATCAAGCACTATCATGTAACGACCGTCCACTTCGGTCACCGGCGGCTCTAATCCGAACTCGTTCCGCATAAGCTCACAGTTCACATCTCTACAGCCCTCAGCTGGGCCGCTCAGCGAGATTTGCAAAGGCAAGATACTATTTCCCTCCGTAGTGGGCACATCTTCGTATCGAAACCTGCTATTTTTGCCTGCTCCTATTCCTAACAGCATGGGGATACTGTCCGCAGGTGTAGCATTCTGGACAAGGTGTACTAAACGTAGCCGATGGCTGCCGTGAAGATATTCGTGAGTCGCTCTTGGCATCTCTTCAACGTCGCCTTGCCACAGAACAACGTCTTGCTTCTGATTAAAGGTTTTACTATCATGGTCTTGCTTCAATCCACCCCGAGTAAGAGGAATCAAAAGATCGCTGAAACTAGCGGTTTTAGACCCACTGAACAAGGGTAGTAGATCTTGGTAAAGTTCGAATTGATGGGGGGTGGTGTGAAAGTCATGAAGATTAAAAATGTCGGGCTGATGACACGGGTCGAGCGCCACTTGCCAATTTTCAAGAAACTGCTCCTTGCTATGAGGCGAGGTACATGAGGCACAGAAATCCCTTACGTCCCAACTAACGCCACTACGACTCGATGAGCCAGGGGGGCAAGCGAGGACCTGTAGCTGTCGAAACTGATGCGCCGCGATATAGGGTTGGGCTGAGCCTGACAGCCCCGTTCGCTGTTTGGTAGCGACATCCTCCTCTGTGAGGATATCGAGATTATCACGTTTACCTAGTCGACCGGGCATAAGCTGGAAGCCTGGTTGGCTAGCTTTCGTTCTTAATTTGTGTATCTCATTCCAAGGAACCAGAACTCTCGGTCGTTCTTGTAGATTGATGGCAATCTCCATCGTTGGGAGATGCTCTGCGAAGCCAGAAATTAGAGTCACGACGTCGTCGAGTATTTGTTGGTGCGAAAGATCAGCTGGGCTATTATGAACCACTTTGCTATCAGCAATTCTAACGATACCAATGTTGGGCTGGCCCTTGAGGAACTCAAGGCCATCTCGAATATCCTTTGGTCGTAGGCCCCAGAACGGTAAGAGGTCTTTCTCCATCTGGTCAAACCTGTCAATAACGACCGATTTTCTCTCCCGAGCGAATTCAAACCATTTGTCAAAATTGCGTGGAGGTTTACGTCCGTGGTGTCTTTCCTCGTATTCTTTCGCTGCGAGCTTCAATGTTGTGCTAACTGTGGCATGCCGTAGCCACCGATCCGCTTCAATCCTATTCTTGTAAACAAGATCGTCGACCGGATGGCGGGTGAACATCGTTTGTGTTCGAGACGTATAAACAACCGAAGAGACCATTAGGATCAGGAGCAATAATACGAAAAACGCGCGTCTAATAAAGATAATCGAGCGCATGTTGCCTGCATATGCAAATATGGTAAATCCGAGTGAAATTGTTCCCAATATGAGTAGCGGAGGCGCTGCCGACGTTTGTTGGTATGTGCCGACTAAAAGCATGTTACCAACACTAGCCAAGGCGCCAGATACAAATGTCGCGAGAGTGACGGGCTCGAGCGGCGATGTATCGCATATCATCAGAGATGCAGATATGATCAGAGTAGCCACAACTATACCGGTGACCAAAGTGTCGAAAATGTAAAGAGGATTGACGCCTCTAAGGGATTGGTGCCCAACGATCTCGCCACGACGCGAGAATTGCGTCAGAAGCAACGGAATGCATGTTACGAACGAGGTGATTAACAAAATGCCACCGAGGGTACGGAGCCGACTTCTAGTTGTTCGAGCCCAGGAGAGCACTCTCCATGAAAGGATAATGATAGTTGCTTCTGCAAAAAGACCAGCCAATTGGATGAACATCAGGAACGACCCCGGATCTGCCAAATTGGAACAGAAGTATGTAGATCGCATCGTAAAGCTGCTAGCCAAATACGCTCCGTAGCTGAGAAGGATAGTTCCGAGAAGCAATATGAAGGGTGAGCCTGTGAGCCAAACCTTGAAGTCGTCAAATACGCTCCCCCACATATCTTCAGGCTCATCTGACTCTACCTGCGGCGCACGGTACGAGAAGAACCTATAGGTAGCTAATAGCAACGACAAAAAAGCCTGTTGTGGGGAGTTAGCCGCGAGACTCGTATGCTTCGTAGCAGAATGCTTACCTCGACACCCGGGGTAGAACATTGGAAATCGTGCAAACTTCTATAAGAAAGCTCAAGTCTAAGAATGATGAGGATAATAATACAGGGTACGTAGAATCGACGTGGTCTTGGAGGCAAGGACGACGACGACGCCTTGAACACAGCATCGGAATCTATCAATAACATTAATCACCGTCCTCGTCTTCATACGAAGAGGAATGAATTAACAAACCAAATCTTCCGTCGGCGCCTGGAAGCCATCTTGAGAAGGCACTCACGACGAAAGCCGAAGAGCCAGAGATAAGGAGTAGTAAGACGGATGAGAGACGTGGCTGATCTGAGCACCCCAGTCAGCAGATACGGTCTAGACAACGGAAAGTTAAATAGACGCTGCCGTACTAATTAAGGTGTGTCTTTGCAAGGAATATGACAGCCAAGCAAACGAAGCTAGGAACCTTGCGTCCAGTTAGCGAGGTTGTATTCTTGTTGCACTATTTATTGTACTATAAATACCTCGGTAAGGTATTTAAGGGATATAAGGTTAAGGGTGAGGTTGAGGTTGAGGTTGGGTTTGGAGTGAAACTCACCAAACGCCTGTTAACCGTGCGCCGCTATGATTAGGAGCCATTGAGGCGGCATTGGCGTCGGTGGGCGATAGGCTTTGCTCAAATCAATCGTAGAGGATCCGGATTAGAGTGTATTCGTATCATCGGACAGAGTTTTTACACCTGAATGGGAGCATGTCGATAATGAGAGACGAGATATCAAGTCAGATACTTAGAAATGGGGATCTGCACTCACTACAGGTGTCCTCTTAGTCCTACGGTAGGTCTAGGTAGCTTAGATGCTTTGTAAGTTACCGTAGTCGTACCTAGGTAGTGCTGTATCCTCTGTAACAACCTACCTAGGTATTAGATAGGTACCTAGGTAGGGTATCATAAATACAGTGTACGATTGAAGATAAACCGTATAATCCTAATTGGCCGGGTATAACCAAACACAGTGTGGGTTCACGGTATAAGAAATAAAGCTCACTGCCTATTGATATTGCAAAGAACTGGACCGGAATCACATGACAATCAGTCAGGGCGAATGGTCTAGGGGTATGATACTCCCTTCGCATAGCCGAAGCAATTCGGAATCTATCTAGTGTTTGGGAGGGGTCCGGGGTTCAATTCCCCGTTCGTCCATTGCGTTGTAGTCAGCATGCGACACCATCTTTTTTTTCGTCTCAAATACTTATTTATTAAACTGCTCCTTAGTCAGTGTTCTAGGGCAGGGAAAGAAAGTATTTTGTGTATAGTATGTATATAGTAGGGAATCCTAGAATAGTTGGTGTAGATTCTTTGCGCAACAACAAGCATTCATCATCTATGCACACACCTGGCATCATTATATACATACCACAACACAAGTATCGAATACAGGTAGATAAATATAAGAAAAGTAAATGGCTTAATTATATTTTGCTTGAAATGAAAAGTGCTGTAAAACCTAGGTAACCTACTAAAGTATATTTACTGCAATGTTACCATATAATTTATATATATATATATATGGTTAGTAGTTCAAATAGCCTTTGTATTATTGAAGGGTTAAACGTAAATCAAAGGGAAGCAAGTCATCAAGTAGCGTTTATACGCTTGCTCAATAGCTATAGCCCATAGGCTTCCTCAGAGTCTATGAAACAAGCCGTCGAGAGAATTTGCACCTTAGCATGGACTACCGTCCGATGTATGAAGACGAACGACAGCGATGCGAAGAGCGAGCCTTCATCAACCCATGACATACCCCTTTTATTGAGGTGTTAAAATAAACTTATTTCTAGTAGATTTATTTGTTGCGGAATGCAGCGCTTTGTAGGTCACCCCCTATTAGATCTTCGGGAGTCTCCAATGAGGCGGGCTCGCTCGCAACCAACCCGAGCCCATCAGCTAATGATAGGACACCATTGAGCCGCTGTTGACCGATAGAGTGTTGCCAAGATCATTTGAACATAAAACACTGTTCTAAATATCCATTACCTTTGATTTAGCCCGACGATAATATAATATCCCTCGGTAAAGTTGTCATCGTAGTATTATCTTATCAGCTGTTCACAGGGGCAGGATATTTCGGATCTTCTTGATACAACCAGATTAAGTTATACCATGTCATTTATCTATAACTTAGGGTTTAGTTAAACTTAATGGCTGCGAACAGTGAAAGCCTAGCACCACATTGAGCAGCACTCCCTTTACTGTCGCCATTTTACCTGAACCTACGGCATTATAATACGAAGCCTCTGGAATGTGCTTAGGAACTGAAATGCGTCTGTTGATACATATCACGCCATGACTAGCATTGATGAAGGGTAAAACCTAACTTCTTGGTTGGTGGTATGGAGTGATTAATGTTTGACTATTTTTCAGCACCTCGAAGCTCTGTTCCGTATTCCTATAATATTAAACACGCGTGTCCTATTACCGGAGGTTCGGCTTGGGATGCTGAATAGTATTCTATAGTTACGGGGCTCAACGGCGTCAAAGATGAAGCGATTCCGGATCCTTTAATGCTGTCAAATAGATGATGATGGCTACCTAGCTATATATACAGTAGGCCCTCTGTCTTACCCGTTGCCTTATGCATATATAAATTAGACAGGCGGGATCCGTATAATCCGCATATCGAGTAGTCGGGCGGGGGCCATGTCCAGCTTTGTTTGGTTCGCTTCGATGCGGCGTCCGATTTGGACTGACCGCATTGGCCAGCTGCCGCCGTAAAATCCTCCCGTGGTATAGACTAAGATCAGCCCTACACAAATCCGGACGGCTACCTGGATGGCTACCTTGCTGGACATTCATTATATGTATTTGATATCCAGCTGATGTCTGCGCCGCACAAGTCCTTCGATTGTCCTAGAAATAACGCTTTTCAGGTTCATGCCTCCATAACCATACAGTAAGGAGCTCTGCTTTATAACACTACTATTCCTCCCGCAGAAAGAGCCAACTTTATTGGAGCCGAGGACGGTCTTTCTATATACTACTACATAGTACGGTATCATTATAAGACTATGGCGCTGAATATACGTTGGCTATCTTCGTGAATCACAAGGCCATCTAGCATCGAGGTAGCAGGGTACAGTCATGTGGCATATGTTTCTATCGCCCGAAACCCTTTCACACTCACGAGTCTTCCTTCCAAAGAGTTAGCAATCGCCCTGCGACACATTGGCCCGGAAAATGACGACTATTAAGACGAATATTAGACGACGACGAGAACAGCCTTTCACGATACCAATCACCACCAAAAGCCTACTGCTAAGTCATCTAGCAGAATAACGGCTTTGATGGGCACTTCTGTACCTCATGTATTGGTATGTGTTTCAACATAACTGGAGCCGGTATGGATAAAACCCAGCGACGAAATGAATGTGAGGGTTGAATATCTCGAAGGCCGGGTGCATCCAAGATGAATTCCTCCGCCGGTCCGTCTGCGCGGCACCTACGGATCTGAACAGCAATAGCGCACTCGATGCCTAGTACATCAGCCTACCGTGATACTTAACGAGTTTTTTTTCAAGGGGCTGTTTAAAAGTTCGCGTGCTACAAGGCCCGATAATATTGCGGATGTCACCTGCAGCTGCTATCCTACAAACGTAAGGCCCGTGGATACTTGTTAACGGTACCTAGAAGACGGACTATACCTTCCTCTTGTTACTTGTCTAGAGACTCAGCATGATCCTAGATGGATTTTGCCGGAATCTAGGTCATGAAAGGCCATGAGCGTTCCGTATCCCCAAAGATCCGAGTGTGTTCTGCAAACAGCAACATCGAAACCAACGGCTACCCATCACCATCTCCAAAAAGGCATGAGAATTAGGCCGAAGCGGAATGATACGAAGCTATAGCCGGTGGCGCGTGCAAGAAGGAGAGCAAGATCGAATGTGTAACCGCATAACGTATGATTACAGACACAGGCATATCAAGGCCGGAAGTGAAAACACCAATCTGCTTCGGTAGCAGTAGTCACATCATCATAGCGACGCCACTTCTGGATACGAGTTGGTCTGGGTAATATGGGAGACAGCGATGTCAACGCAGCAACTTGGTAGAATAATGACACGACGACGACGCGGGTTTGCCGGACTGCACACGGCATTGAAATCATGAAAAGAAAGAGTTGGGTGAACAGAATATAGGTAACGGAAGGGGGGGAGCGACCGGCGGAATTCCTTGACGTAATGCAAAAACCAACACAGACCGAACGAGCCGACATTCTATGCGACATTCCCGGTACCGTTGACGTCTTCCTCAGCGACCAGGCTCGTTATTGAGTCGCTGACTGTCGAATGTCAGCTTTCGCTCGCTTGGCCCTTGGCAGAGAGCTCCGAGTGGTTTGGATCGCGTTTGCGGAGGGGTTAAAAGGATTGCCCAGCAAGCCGAGCAGTACCCACCAATTCACCTTTGATCAGGCGGTTTAATGAGCGGAAGTGGCTACGACTTGTCTCCACGAGTTACCTGACGTGTTTACCATCAAAGATGTCGAATCGGAGTGACCAAAACTCTACCTAGTCCTGGGCGAAGTCCACCTGCTAGTAAACGTCGAATCGAAGGAGAATGACTAAAAATGGCAACCAACTCATTCCTCTTTGGGGCGACGCGAAGACTAGCAAGACGACACGGTTCCTCTAGGCTACCCACACTAGACCACATCACCACGCTACAGTACCTAAGGCACCACGGCAGACTACGGTAGGCAAAGGTAAGTAATCATCATGATGGTTCTACTCACTACTACCACATTCGCCACCAGTGGGAGGACCCATGTACTACTAAGTAGTATCTAGCCGTGCGACAATGGAGGTGGCAAGACTAGCGAGTTTGGAGGGTGTGTATGTTCAATACGGCGGTGCTCACCCACTGCTCGCGCACTTACACTACACTCACTATCTACCGTACCGGTCACGCACACCTTACGAAAGGGTGCAAGTACTATAGTAAGTAGGTAGCGCATTGCCCAGATACTGTCCAGGATTCTACCCAGTTCTGCTGCCCAGTCTACCAGGATGACGAATATTGGAGATGCAATTTCTATAGTGAGTACGTCGTATTGGCAAGCGACCAGTCCCAAAAAGACAGGACATGTGATGGTGAAGAAACTCCTATGCTCTCATAAGTATTCCGTACCTCTCTACGTCACTCCACTAGGAGCCGGCATTTCCAAGTTCGAAACTCCGCGGTGCCCCTGCCGGCTGGATGAGGTGACCGTCCGGTTCATTTTAAAATTATGGTTATGCACCTAGAACTACGATGCGAATCCTACAAAAAGGGGGCCTCTGCTGAGCTCGACCACACTACACTAGTATAGTATACTACTACCTAGGTAGTACTGGGCAGTCTTGGAGATGGTGCTACTGGCCTACACTACTCTACACTAGTTCGCACAAGATGGTAATTATCGGGGCTGGTTACAATAGTCTAGCCTGAGGTTCTACCCACCAAATTGGTCCATACCGTAGTATAGTTACTTACAGTAGTTGCCAGAAGAAAATAGACTTTGCGCTGTTGGCAACCAAATTGTGTTTCCTTGTGGTGAATTCCCCATTGTTTCTATAGATTAAGACAACTACTTATCAAGCTTCAACTACGATACTCTGCTGTTATTAACATATTAACAAACCCCAACTGCACGCTTTCTTGAGGCCGATTCTACTGAAACAAAGCCAAAACATGAACCTTGAAATATTTTTTCAACCCGGACTAACCTTATTTTGGCTCTGGGCAGAACTCTGGGGTCTTGGCATCTTATGTCATCCTTCGGTAGTAACATGCGCAGCAGCGGCGCAATAAATGCTTCCATTCAGGGGGCCCCTGTCGTGATTGGGGCTATACAACACTCTACATTGTAGATCTACGCTCATCTTGCATATGAAGTAGGTTCAGTACATGTACTTTACATAAGACTACTACTAAGTATGTATTATTGTGATCAGAGTACAACGGCAGGTTCTAGCATTCACTTCGACGTTGGTATGGGATTGCGTACACCATAATAACGGGAGCCGAAATGACTATACCTTCATTCCTACATTAAAAAGTGTAGATAGGGATTCATCGGTGGCAATGACGCTACACTCCTGTCTAATGAGCCAACTGAGCTTGGCCTTTAATTTCATCTCATTTCCCTGGTATACACACCGCAGACG